TAAATCAAAGAAAGAGCACAGATCCCGTTCTCCATATGAACGTAAACGGGAATATTCTTCGAGTAGCAGTAAGAGGCACAAGTCTCGTTCCAGGGATAGGGAGTTGGATCGTTCTCGTGAGCGTAGTAGAATGGACGACAAGCGTGGCAGGGGAATGTCACGGAAATATGATGACTATGATAGATCTAAATCTAGCAGGGATGGTAGGGACGATAAGAGGAAGCATTAGACTTAATACTATAATTAGTTTTTCAATAAATGCTTAAAATTATTAATGTTTGTCTTTTATTCTATGACTCATAATATTAATCATCTTCATTCCCACAATACAACTAAAATGTTGATGTGTGCTATCAATTGGATAACCCTCTTCATAATATATCTTATAATTAATATTGCAAATAATAGGATTGATAGATAATCAGAAAAAAAATACTAGAATTCGAAATAATTAGGTATAGGTATTATTAAATTAGAACAATTATTGAATTTTCCTCAATACAATACCTATGTAATACAGTTTCAATTTTTAATTTTGCTACTTTATGACCACAACTGTGCCTGTGTAAACATTGTGGTTTAACTGTCAAACACCAAGCGGTCACCGGTGACCGCAACCTATTGTTCTATAATTGTGTCTATAATGACGGTACTCGACGAGTTAAGGCACCAAACCTGCAATTTATTGGCCCCTGCAAACCACTAGGTACACTGCATCAGCTATTGAGAGATATTGTGACCAGTCCGGAGATCAAGTAAAAATTGAATATTAATTTTATATGAGTTTTCATGTCACAGTATCATTCTGAGTTCATAGAAGGTTAATACCTACTTGCCCTTTGTTAAACAGATTTATGACATTGCCAAAAAATACTTCTGCCCTTTTCAGTTCATCTAATGCTCTATTTTTGATATTCCAAATTAACCTTTACATCTCATGTCATGATATGAGATCAAACAAAGTATATTATGTATAAGTAGGTAGGTACTCACCTAGCTAATTACTATGGATCACTGGGTTATCCTCCCTAAATTCCCTCTCCTTTTGGTCCTCATGCCTAAACATTCTATGTATAGAAATAAGATCAACAAACTACAAATATGTCACATGTCACCCTTTCAAGTCATCCCTTTCCAGTAGGCAATCTATTTTGGTTGAGTGGGCAATGATTTATATTTAGCCAGTCTGTTGTGAGCCCGCGTCCGGAGCGCTCTGTACTGTCGAATAGTGCCAATTATAATTGTTTTAGGTTTAAAATCAATAGATTTGATTTAAACTCTTTGTTTGTTATGTGGCCCTGGTATTTGTTGATAGTTTCATACATAAAATGTAGGTTTTTATAGTGTTTTATAGTGATTCTGATTCTTGTTTTGAAGAAGGGTAAGTAGGAAGGGAACTTACAGTCATTAGGTTTGACTTCATTTTAATAGGTAACTCTTGTTTGTTATGTGACCCTGGTAATTGTATGGCTTAAACATAAATATATAGAGAATTTCTTTAATAATTTCTGATGTCGTTTTTACAAGGGATAAGTAGAGAGTTCATATTTTTATTTTTTTATTTATTATCACAATGATTAGGGACCTACATAATGTACTTTCTTATTTATTGTTTAATATTATTATAAATTATTTTCCTTACCATTCGATTCTGTTAGTGCCTATGCCTATAGTACCTACCCACTGATTAATTGCAAGTTGGACGGAAGGACCATAAGTTTGATAAACTAAACTGCAACTACATTTATTGTTTTTACTTTGTACCTACTAACGCACTTTACCTGGTAGGTATGTTCTAAATATGCCTTGCTCTAGGAAAACCGTAGGAAGGAACGACATTTAAAAAATGATTGATTAACCTAGTTCATTTTTTTTTTTTGATAGCAAGTAAGGCGTTGTTCACATACGCGGGGTTTATACATGTGTACCTGTCTTATATCGTATTTATTGTTACCATATTCATAGTAATATTTATTAAATAAACCTAATCTTTATGTTATTATTTTAAATTCTGTAGTTTTTTATTGAAAATTATTTCCTAAACTTAGATAGTTATAAAATTATAATATAGGTATTAAACTGTCAAATACCAAGCGGTCACCGGTGACCGCAACCTATTGTTCTATAATTGTGTCTACAAAACCGGTACTCGACGAGTTAATAGGGCAGCAGTCAAGGCTGAAAAGATGATTTACCACGATCACAATACTTCGACTCGTGATAAGTTGCCATATCCAAAGTCTAGACAAAACATATCAGTCAGTTAGCATTACCCGATAATAATATCTAGATGAAATAGTATACAAAACGAATGATTCATATGTTTACTCGTCAAGAACTCATTACTTCTATCCAATTAGATCATAGATCGTATCGACGCGAGTGACGGTTATGGAATGCGTTTACATTGAAAATCTTTTAGTGCCAAAGTAAATAATATTAATGAACTTTTTTTAGAACGAAATACTTTCACAGCTCACTTAACTCCATTTCGTTTGTTGAAGTGTGTTTTAGTAAAAGGTAGACACTTACCTATGTCACTGTAAATTAACTGTTTTGACTTAACTAAAAATCGCAGGTTACTCACGTGAGTATATTGTGATAAGCTCTACTAGTTTCGAACCACAGAGGGGTTCGAAACTAGACAGCAAAGTCATTGTATTCTGCCTGCGAGCAAGCGTGCAAAGTATAAATATTTCAAATTAAAGTCACCATAATAATTTTCATAATTACAATACAATATTTAGGTACGTTCATATCACAGTCATAGACATATTACATTATAGTCGTAGATACATTACAAGATAGTCGAGTAATTCAACATGTATTACTAGCTTCTATCCACGGTTTCGCCCGTGTTCCCGAGGGATAAAAAGTACTTAGACTATGTGTTCCTGGCCATAATCTAGCCGTGTTCCAAATTTCATCTCGATCCCTTCAGCCATTTTGACATGATTGAATAATAAACACACAAACAAGCTTTCACATTATAATGGTAAGATAAGTAGATGTCGCTCACCGATACATTTATCTATGACCCAGAGCATTAAGTTGGACTTTGCTCTTCGGAACATCTCTTTATGTTACTCATAGTTCTCCAACACTACTTACCTTCTTTAATGCAAGGGCTTGTTACTGTGAAATACTCTCTTTTAAGATACCCCTAAATATTCAAAATTTGGTTTATTACTCGATCATGATGCCTCTGATGTTGATGTTGTAGGAACATACTTTTTTGTCCAGGAAAAATCATACAATGCCTTCTCCCAACTTGGATGAGGCGAGAAGAAGTGTCAGACTATTACTGACTAAAAACCACCGCGTTCCTACTCCTGCCATTCTGTGCTCCTCCTCTGAACCAGATACCGGGGCTATCCCGTTAGGTTGTCCGCAGGTCCACAGGCGGGAGGTGTACCTACTTAAGCTACGATATGATCGCTTACCATCAGGGCCCGTAAGCTTAGTTTCGAATAAAGCCGCGGAGGACTTAACGGGTTGCCGGGGCTCTAACTCGGAAGTACAGGAGTCGGAACGGGGTGGTTTTTAGTCAGTCTGACACTTCCACCTGCCTCGCCCAGGCTCGAGAAGTCATTCGATGATTATCCTCCCTTAAAAAAAGTTACTAGTAATATTCCTAATTTCACGATATACCTTACAAAAAAGGGATAAATTGAAAAAGGAAGTCTTGGAGTTAAATTTTGATTAAAAATAATTAATAGAGAAAACGGGTATTCCCCGCAAATAATGTAAAAATACGTGTTTGAATCTACCTGTCTATTCTGATCATGACAGTCTTGATCACATGTCGAGTTAAATAGCAATCGTAACGCGTCGACCATTTTTCCAAATTTTAACTGAATAACATAGATATAAGGTTAAAAATGCATTGAAAGTTCACAGTTAGGTTTTGCTTAAAGTACCAAAGGTTGTATCTACACACGGCAGCTTTCCAGACTGGTCGATACCGGTTGGCGCCAACTGTAATTAACATATTCTACTCTATGGATCTGGATGTCAGAAATTCACTTTATAGGACTGTTGTAATATTAACTCGTCGAGTACCGTCATTATGACACAATTATAGAACAATAGGTTGCGGTCACCGGTGACCGCTTGTTGTTTGACAGTTTAAATGAGATTATTAACTATCGTGGTAGGTAGGTACCTACCACGATATATATATAGGTATGGGGTAGGTATGTATATAGGTATATACTACAATAATAATTAATGGTACGTGGTTACACGGTACGTAAACTTTTTGAAGTACTCAACTAGTCTCAAGCCACACCGGGACGCATACATAATCATGAGTTGAGTTATTGGTTTCAAAGTCCAAATTATTTATATTAATTAGACCAGGAAGACACTTTAGAACGTCACTCAAAATATTAAAAGTGGCAATCTATCGGTCACTAGTCACTACTCTAGTGAAGCTATTTGCTCGTTCCAAAGCTAGATTTATGAAGAAGAACGAGCAAGAAACTCCATAAGTTACTGTTTTTCAATCAGTTTCACAATACAATTCTTGATTATATTATGTTGTTGGGATTCATCTACCATCTTTTTTTTCATTCTATATAAAAAAAATATATTATGTGGGATTCATCTACCATTTTTAATTAATAAACCAAGTATAAATAAGCGTCTGGCTCGTTGGCACAGCGGTCACAAGTGCGACTGCCGGGCAAGGGCTAAGTATTAATGGGTTTTTAAAAAAAACTCAGTAGTAACACGGAGTCTGGAATTGTGCCCGGTATATGGGCAATAGGCTCACTACATAGGACTCATAACATAAATAGTGAAGTGAGTGTTACCTACATTGTACGTGCGTGATGTTATGTTATGTGTATAAATAAAACACCTAACCATATACATTTTGCTACCACTGTAAAATCAGCCTTAGGTCTGTTATCATACAGTCCTTATCGCTCGAGTATGATCTCAGTGCCCGATGTTAAATCGCGTCACACACTTGTGTCTCGTTCACAAAACAATAATGTATCAATCGTATTGATGTGTGAAATGAATTCTGTGTAAACAAACTTAAAATTACGTTTTTTATGAAATGATATTTATAATGCATTGTTGTGTATGATATTTATTGTTCAAACGCGGAAAATTTGTTCGGAAATAGTGAATTTATATCAGTTGTGTTCAAAAGTATGCGTTTATTTTCAAAGTGAATAATATGTTATAATATTTCGTTTAGATACTTATCTGATACATGTTAAAATTAATATTATTTCGTATGTGTTTAGTGCATTCAAATAATTGTGTTAATGCTATCAGATTTGATAATTTTAATAAGTGTCTTTGCAAATTGATTGTGGGAAAAACTAAGGTATCTCCTTAATATTAAAACAATTAATTAAGTCTTACTTTTCATTTAAAAAATAAGTACCAGGACCACATAAATTACCTGTAGGTGCTTTCATTGTGAAACTGTGTGTTGTGATAATTGTATAGTGTGTACTTTTTAAGTACCTATATAAATACGTAATGAAGATTGTCTTTTAACACTATTACACTATATTCTGAGACATAATAAAACCAATATTGTACGTATAGGAACCTATTAAGCGTGTGCAATCAACTTTAAACTCTAATTATGTGTAAAATAAGCCCAAAATAAGATAAAGAATCTCAAAAACCAGTGATGTGTGACCAAAGAATTATATTAGTGTAGTTTATGAACAATTATTTTGACTTAAAAGTGCTATAAAGTTGTAAAGATGATGCCTCTTCGTAAGATCGCTCATCGAGCGTGTTTTTTTGTCAGTAGAACTGTGTATATGACATGTAAGTATTGATAGGTACTTGTCTTTCGTTCGACATTTATCCATAACAGATTTCTATCTAGAATCTTTGATTAATCCTATGTTATACAGGTTGACTTGTAACTCGACGTATTCCTCTCGGGAGGCAACTAATTTCCTACAAAAATAGCCCTGATGTCTCTGTCTCTCCCAGTGGTTTTTTAGTTATTGATTTTTTTGTAGTTCGAACCGAAAATGTTGAGTACCGTAAAACGGGGTGAATAGAATTCGAGGGGTGAATAGATACAGAAATGGAGTGAATAAATGTTAGAGTATTTTCCCAACATTTATTCACCTCTCTTCTATGGGTGAATACGGGGTGAATAGAATTCGAGGGGTGAATATCTATGAATATCTATTCTAATTAAGAGTAGCGGTGAACAACCTCAGTAAGTCAGTACCACGTTATCGAAAGTATATTATCTAAACCTTCACCGCACTATAGTCTCCTGGTAACCGATATTATCTCAATGTCATCTTGGAATTGCCATTATTGCCAATATTAAACTAGATGCAACGTTATTACGTACATATTAGGGTGGCTTATTTAGACATTTTTAGGAAGAAGAAAACATTAAGTAGACCCCTTTTCGTCAAAAAATACTGATGCCACAAAAATCTGATTCTTATAATAATGTTGAACTAAAACTAAAATGTACATAAAACCAAAGCCATTATTTTAATGAAGAAAGTAGAACGTTTTTACTGCCGCTTGCACTTTACAAAGACTGCAAGTTTCAACCAAAAGACATATCTATGAATATCTATTCACCCCTCGAATTCTATTCACCCCGTTTTACCGTATCTCAGAAACTAGCCACTTTCGGACCAGAGACCTCAGGGCTAATTTTGTAGGAATACGTCGAGTTACAAGTCACCCTGTAAATAAACGATTTATTTACCTTACATTTTTAACATTAATCCATAATTGACATTAAGTTTCTGTCAAAAACTTAAGTTCATCAATTTCGGTTAGTCAAGTGATTGCTAACACCTTTGCCAAATGGTGTCGAGATAGACACCCAAGTCAGGCAAAATTTAATAACACGGAAACCATAATTGGTGCCTTTATAGCAACAAGTTTACTAGGTGTACTAGGTGTAGTACTTAAGTGTAGGAGAGCCATGCTTCGCCACGAACGGGCCGGCTCGGCCGGAGTGATACCACGGCTTCACAGAGTACCGACGTGAAGCAACGCTTGCGTTGTGTTTCGTCGTGTAAGTGAGGTTACCGGAGGCCCAATTACCCTCCCCTTACCCAATCTCTCCAATCCCTGAATCCCCAACGATGCACAAACTCCTAATTCCCAAAATGCCAGTAACGCACTTGTAAAGCCTCTGGTGTTCCAGGTGCTCATGGACGACGATTGCTTATCATCAGATGATCTGTCTGCTCGTTTACCGGTTTATGCCATAAAAAAAAATTAAAAAAAGTTTTCACTTTATACATCGAAAGTACTCCTTATGGCAAGTTGTTTTGCCGCCGGACGTAAACGAAATAGATTTCAAGGTGTATGTATGTAAAGGTATACCTTTGCCTACCCCTTCAAGATTAAAAGACGTGATGCAAGTATTGTTGCATGTTGTTCACTCAATAATTGTGTCAGTCTCCCAGCTTATCGCGTAAACAATGAACTATATTGATATTATTAATGCAATGAAATGTATTTGCGACAACAATCCTTGATTTCATTTAATTGATACTTCTGATTTATTTAAGATACGATTTATTGAGGGGAGAAAATCGTACAATGATTTCTCCCGCCTTGAGTTAGACGAGAGGGAGTATAAGACTTACTGACTAAAAACCACCCCGTTCCTACTACTGTTCTTTGAGTCGGTGCCCCGGCAACCCGTTAAGCCCTACCGAAGCTCCGTATTTAGGATACGCTAGAATGCGTTTTAAGTATCTAGTTAATACCTGACAAATTTTGTTTATGTTTTCTTTGGTCTTTTGGTTGAAACTTGCAGTCTTTGTAAAGTGCAAGCGGCAGTAAAAACGTTCTACTTTCTTCATTAAAATAATGGCTTTGGTTTTATGTACATTTTAGTTTTAGATAGTTCAACATTATTATAAGAATCAGATTTTTGTGTCATCAGTATTTTTGACAAAAAAGGGTCTACTTAATGTTTTCTTCTTCCTAAAAATGTCTAAATAAGCCATATGTACGTAATAACGTTGCATCTAGTTTAATATTGGCAATAATGGCAATTCCAAGATGACATTGAGATAATATCGGTTACCAGGAGACTATAGCGCGGTGAAGGTTTAGATAAATCTCACTTTCGATAACGTGGTACTGACTTACTGAGGTTGTTCACCGCTACTCTTACGTAAAACTCGTGGTTTTTGTCATCGGTTACATTAATTTATTAGTTGTTTTTAAGTGGTTAAAAATATTGATAAGATATTTGTGTAAACAAGCGGCTTCTAATTATTTAGTGTCCTAACGATGATCCCATAACTTCTTAAGGGACGTGGGAATTTTGGCAAATTTCCTCCTAAGAGGAAGGCCTTTTGCGGAACTGAGCCGTTGAAGTCCTACAACTCCTGTTGATTAAAATGTTTAATATTAACGTTGAAAATTTGGCATGTGATAACAAAAGACCATTCATTCTTGTACAAAAGGACCAAGTCTTTCAGACCAAGACCAAGTCCTACGCAACGTACCACTATGAAAATAACAAATTTAATATTAAAATGTCCCTTGACGTATATCAAGATAGAGTTTCTTTATTCTCATTCCTCACTAAACATAATATCTAAATCTTCTCATCAGCTCGCCGATCACATCAATTCTTAATCTGGTCCTTATGATTCCAGGTTGTTGCGGCTGTTGCTCCGCGCTCCGGCCTCGCTACAAGAGGTTGGTGGACAACATCTTCCCGGCGATACCACAAGATGGCCTCGTCAAGACCAACATGGAGAAACTCACCTTCTACTCCTTGTCCAGTCCTGAGAAGCTTGACAGGATCGGAGAGTACCTGTTTCAAAAGGCCTCCAGAGATATTTATAGAAGACGACATGGGTAAGTTTTGCTTAGAAACTCTGCTTTTTAACGACTAATGATGTAGAAGATTCATCGGCACGGATGGCCTCACAGAAAACGGACATCATAAAACGTTTGCGTTATTTCGCCATATACCATCAAAGGCCGGCAACGTTCTTGTAACTCCTCCGATGTTGCGGGTGTTTTTTGATCGCTTGACCCTGGCAGTATATTCAAATGCTTTTTCGTCGACAGCATCATCAGTTTCACCAGGCTCTATACTGAATAGTTGTTTTGGGGACTTGGTACTCTTCAATGAAATGCCGATTATATGATGTTATTCAATTAACACAATGCACATGTTTTCAGTACAAGGATTACAGATCGACTGTCTACTCTAGATTAATATCAATTACACGATGCGACAATTGTTAACAAAATAGGAGATGTGCCGCAGGCACATTGTCAAACGTCGACCAGTAAAAAAATGGAGTGATATGATGTTAATCCAATATTTTCTTGTTTGTTCAAGGTTTTATCACGAGTACTTGCCAAAGTTAATATTAGGCAATAACTCCATGATCTTCAGTTAGCTTATCGCAAGATTATCACTTCCGCACTGAAGCTGTCATGTATCACAGTTATGTTTTGATAGAACCAATGTTATCAATTGACTTCAGACATATCTACTAGAATTTTATGTCGTACTTTCCGCCTTCAGTTTGGACCCACGCTGTATTTAGAAGATTTCTTTTCAATACGTCTCTGTTCTTTAGCCTAATCTCGAGAAAACTACCTCGTGCTACTACCGAAAAATAACCTTTCCAACAGTGAAAGAGTTTCTGAAATAGGTCTAGAAGTTTCGAAACTTGTACAATGTAAATATATTTACTTTTTTATAAAGACACATAATCATTGTGCAGAATTAGGTTAGCCACATTGCGGTTACAAGTTCAAATGTAATATAGATATTAGATACCATAAAAAAATAATATAAATGAATCCTTACTATAATAATATTATAAATCAGAATGCGAGTTTCTTTGTTTGTTTGTTCCGCTTTCACGCCGTAACTACTAAACCGATTGCTTTGAATTTTTGCAGACGTAAAGTTAGAAGCCCGGATTAAATAATAGGGTACTTTTTATCCCGGAAAAAATTCATATTCCCGAGGGAAAACAAAAGTATTGGTATAGATGGCGCTGTGTGTATTGGTATATGTCACATAGGCTACTTCTTATCCTTTTGTGACGCGAGCGAAGCCGCGGGTAAAAGCTAGTATGAATATATTCAGGTGTAATTTATTGGCCTTTTGCATGATAAAATCGAGATAGCAAAACTCATATTAGATATGTAGAGGAGGCAATAATCTAGCTGTGAACAGCTGTGTGTCATAAGATGACTAGGTATATCGTAATACACCTCTGATGCCCTGAGGGCCAAGCACGAATAACTATCGCATTCGTATCGTAACAGTATCGAGCGAAGTAAGCGTTCTGATTGGTTGGTTCACTCGAGCCGGCCAATCAGAGCGCCGAACGCACTCGATACTATTACGTTACGATTGCGATAGTTATTCGTGCTTGGTACTCTGGTACCCGGCTCCAATGAGCCAACCAATCAGAGCTCGCGAACGCGGTCTCGTATAGATCTCGGGATGAATATGTCATCGGGAAAGTAAAGCAGTGTTTGTAGTAGTAGTATTTATATTGTAAAGTCAAAATAACTAAAAATACTCAGCCACCCTATTATATTTATGGTGCTTAACAATAACATACATAAAAGAGTTACAATGTTACCAATAGAGCTCTTTGTTATATACATGGTACATACTAATGGTTACTGTGTAAATAGGTAGCGTCTAACATTACTAGATATTTATTTTAAATGCAGTTCAGTTGTTATATTGTTACAATAAAAGTATGCATTTGACTGCCTTGTTAGTAAATTGGTCATAAGCACCACTGCTGTTCTATATATTGATTCTTTGTTTATGCAAAACACGTGTTAGTTTTTCTATGTAAATTATCTATGTACTAAATTACAAAACTACACCATCTTGGAGCGACGACTCGTCAAGTCGTCAGTGTCGCGGGGAGCTAATAGCGGAAGATACAAGTGGCGAGTTGTCGTTCGTCGTAGAGGATTATACGAGAGGCCTTTGAAAGAAAGAAAGATATCTTTTATTTGCTAACTAGCTGGTCCAGCTTCGCACCGCCTCGAAAAATATTTTCTCACCTTTTATACCTTCCTTGCGGGGTTTATTATGACGTCCTAAAGTCATAATGGTTCCAATGAGGGAAAGAAACAGATCTATACAGGTCGTCTAACGAGATCTCGTTCCCTCAACAGAACCATTCTGGCTTTAAGACGTCATAATACGCCACCTGGACTTCCACAAATAATTCCAGACCAAAATTAGCCAAATCGGTTTAGCCGTCCTCAAGTTTTAGCGAGACTAACGAACATCAATTGATTTTTATGTATACAGATAATATAGTTAGTGTATACCTATACATATAAGTTGGAATGTAGATTGTCTCAATACATTTTACCTTTCGGCATTCAAAATATTATATTTAAATTTAAATTACAATCACTATCACTACATAGTATAAAACAAAGTCGCTATCTGCCGTCTGTCTGTCCCTATGTATGCTTAGATCTTTAAAACTACGCAACGGATTTTGATGCGGTTTGTATTAATAGATAGAGTGATTCTTAAGAAAGATTTATATGTATAATACATGCATATTGCACCCGTGCGAAGCCGGGGCGGGTCGTCCACAACAAAATAGTTTTTGTGTCAAAAAGTTTCATCCTTACTAATATTATAAATCGGAAAGTTTGTTTGTTTGTTCCGCTTTCACGCCGTAACTACTAAATCGATTGCTTTGAATTTTTGATAAATTTTTGGAAAAATTTGATATTCCCGATGGAAAACAAAAGTATTGGTAGATGGCGGTGTGTGTATTGGTATATGTCACATGGGCTACTTTTTATCCTTTTGTGACGCGAGGGAAGCCGCGGGTGAAAGCTAGTTAGAAGATAATTTCGTTTTGTTCAGTAGTGGACGTGTTCCGGCTGATGATGATACCATTATGAGTTCAATTCCTAAGCTTGATATAATAATACGTGTTATTGATTGGTTGGTTTTTCTCTTTCAAAAACTCACAGTAAATGATACGGAATTTTTTATTCACTAATCCTTTGGAAAGACTATGATGTTAAACAGATGCAAATAAGTATACTCCAGTGGCGTGCAGTCCATATAGGCAAAAAGGCTTTGCTTGACATAAAATGTACAAACGCGTTTATTAAGATTCAATAATAAAATAAAAGTTTGTAAAAAAACGGCTAACATAAATAAACATTCACATATACTATACACGGACCGCACGCCTTTGTAAAGCAATGAATGCGCCCAGCACGCACCACGCATGCGCTACTATTCCTTAAATCTTGGTTGTTGGTTGTGACGTCACAAAAAGTATGCAACGCGCATGCGTGAAGGTCACGTGACTATGGTCACAGCAGAGAATAACCATTCATAAACGCAAAAAAGTCATTGCTGCCGGCCTTTGAAATTTATGAATCTGCGCCATCTATTGAATTTTTTGTTAAAACTTCTGAACACGTTCGATATAATGCGAATGTCTTTTTATAATTATGCATACTAAAAAAATATGTTTCAGGTATTTTAATTAAATCTTAACATTTTTACGCGTTGTCGGTTTACAGAAACTTTAAACGAGGAGTTGACTTTATTATTTTAAAAGTAAAAAGGAATAACTTTTGAGTAGCGGCAACTTGACGTTTTGATAACTCAAAGTTTCAAATTGTTATCAACGAATGTTTCTTATTGGAAAATAATAATAAGACAATGACGGAACTCCATTTGACTTATGTAAATTAACGTTTTGTTTTTTTATAATTAAACACTGGGTTGCCTTAATGTTATAGCTATAATTTTTTTATAATAAACACTCAATTGACTACGATGGGTTCATTCATTCCAATGTTTTCGGCCATATTGTTTTCATGTGATGTGCGATCGCTTTGTTTATGTTTTCGTTTAAATTATAAGGAATTAGTTTTAAACATAAAGTTGCATAAATATGTGTAGAAGTAGTTAAATGTATGTGTAGGTTTTTCAAATAGTGTATTTGTTTATCAGTGTCTAGTACAAGTACCTATATTATTCGATTGTGAAGTTTGTGTTGATAATAGATAATTTTTTGTGTTTGTTGAAAGTTAAAAACAGTAAGTTTTCGCAAAAATGTGTCCTACAACGACTAGATTCAGGTAATGACCATAGGCAGTACTCAAGTTACGAGAATTGACCCAAGTCAAAGGTAGGTAATGTAAATATTATGTACTTTAATGGATCTTTTATTGATTTTCTTGTTTGATAATTCTTAAAAATATCAACTTAGACTTCGGGTTGTACTGATTTACATATTAATTTATTATTAATAATTATGTAATGTAATAACAAATGTACCGCTTATAAATACTCGGCTCGGCCACAGCCGGCCGCGCTTGTTATTGTTTTGTTTGTTGGTAGGTACCTACGTTCTTAAATTCGTAATATAATATAATATAATATTATTATGATTTTGAATAGATTATCTAGCAATTCGATAATTGAATTTGGTTCATCAAATTTATGCTTCATTATTAGTATAATTAATAGATGTTCAATTATTTGTAAGTTTTGTTGGCTTATTCCATAGCTGATGAAGTAGTTCACAAAAAATACGCGAGATGTCAGTGTATGTAATTTGGCGACAGAATAAACCACAATATTCTTGAACGCACTTTTTAAAATGTATTCTGTACATGTAGGTACCTGTCTTGTGTGAGTATGATTGTCATTGTATGACCGGGGGGAGGGGTTTAATCATACGATATTTAATTGCCTACCCTGTCTCGAAAACCTGTGCACGCCACTGGTATACTCTTTACAATGCTATATGATGAGTGCTATCTAACTACTTATGAGCTAGAACTTTATCTAGATAACATTTTAGATAAAAGAAATAACTCGATATCGGGGAGTCGTAAACTTTAGGCTATAAACAGTTACATCGTGATAGGTTTTTCAATCAACAGATCTGGGATCTGGGTAACACATGTTGTGATATCTTTCTTTGAACTCTGTTGCCTATCATGCTGAAATGTTAAACAGTAGGTACACTTACGATTTTATAATGGTGTGTCAAGATCCGGTGCTGCACCAGTTTGGGCATTCCCCAGGTCTAAACGCACCATAATACAATTTAAATTGGACGATCGGATACCATAGAATAACACTTATCATAGATTAAGTCAAGGCAAAATCAAATCATTTTAATTAGACCAGGAAGCCACTTTTGAACGCCAAACTATGATTATACGATTTTTTAAACTTGGCCTCGTTGGCCGAGTGGTTGCAAGTGCGATTGCCGGTCGAGGGGTCTCGGGTTTGATTGCCGGGACGGGCAAAGTATTAATGGGTTTTTAAAAATCTCAGTAGTAGCACGGAGTCTGGAAATGTGCCCGGTATATGGCAATAGGCTCACCCCCTATTACATGGGACTCATAACATAAATAGTGAAAAGTGGGTGTTACATTGTACTGTGGCATTAAGTGCCGTAATGTGCATCTCTGCCTATCCCTTAAGGGATAAAAAGGCGTGATGTTATGTTAAACTTGGATATGCACCTTGTTTCGCTTGGTTAGGCCAAAAAAGCCCTGGTTTTACAGAATACCAACGTCAAGTACTAATTGTCTTTGTATTATTGTCATAGTTTGTCGATGCCACAGTAATGGCGGTATTGTCTCCAGGTTCGTGATAATAGCAATGGAGGCGATGGACCAGCTCCTAGTGGCATGTCACTCGCAGACGCTGAATCTGTTCGTAGAGAGCTTCCTCAAGATGGTGCAGAAGTTGCTGGAGTCCACCGACCCACAGCTGCAGATACTTGCTACACAAAGTGTGAGTAATTGCTCCTTATTCAGTTATAGTTCAACGCCTGTGGCTTCATGTTAAGTGTTACTTCCTAGAGAGGATATTTTTAATAGAAAAAAATATTTTTGAACACTATCTTTTGTAAAACAAGATACTAGAATTCCACCCGCAATTTGACTTTTGTAAAGTTCAGAAGATGTCATTTGTAAGGGCTTCGAGATAAAGGTAGTCTATATGTTGCTTACTGAAAAGTTATTATTTGAATGGTGAAAGATTTTTTTAAATTGATCCCTTAGTTTCGAAGCCTATTTAATACACAAACTTTTTGCTCACTTATCTATTTGACAAGGAACTCGTCTAGTTTGCTAACCACGCTAAGGGCTCATATTGGACGTGATGTACGTCACGCATCATCATCATCAACTGTCTATAAGTGGCCACTGCTGACCAAAGGTCTCTTCTCACATGGAACTTTGAGCATTAATCACCTCGCTAGTTCAATCCGGTATACGGAGCCGCGGAAGGCCTAACGGGTTGCCGGGGCTCCGGCTCGAAGAGCAGGAATAGGAACGGAGTGGTTTTTAGTCAGTAAGAGTCTGACACTCCCTCTCGCCTAACCCAAGGCGGGAGAAGTCATAGGATGATTTTCCCCACTCAAAAAAAGAGCTCAATGCGGCTTGCTATTTCAAACTTATAATTAGAAATTATAAGCCCAGGTTTCCTCATGATGTTTTCGTTCACCGTTTGTCAGTGGTGTCTTTCTTGACTCTTGATAATCTTAGGAAGTACATATAACTCGGAAAAAGTCACCTTGGTATTTGTCGTTGGTAGATTTCCTACATGAGAAGCGGGCTTCTTAAACCTCCGATCCACCACGACACACACGTCGCGCAGCCATCTCAAATTAATATGGGAACTATCTTCACCCACAGTTCGTCAGATTCGCGAACATAGAAGAAGACACCCCGTCGTACCACCGGCGCTACGATTTCTTCGTGTCCAAGTTCTCGGCGATGTGCCACAGCAACCACATCGACAAGCCGACAAGAGATAGTATACGACTCGCCGGCATACAAGGACTGCAGGTAACATATCCCCGAATCTCCAAAAATCCTTAAATTGCGAAACTCCAAAAGGCCGGTAACGCACTTGTAACGCCTCTGGTGTTTTGGGTGTCCATGTGCGACGCCGATTTCTTACCATCAGATGATCCGTCTGCTCGTTTACCAGTGTGCCGGATGCCTCATATAAAAAACTTTGTAGGTAGCGTTGTTCATTCATTATCATTATTAACATGACATGTCGTCCGTACCGATATTTTTAACAAAATGTGTATGTCTCCAGGGTGTGATCAGGAAGACGGTGTCGGATGATTTGGTGGAGAATATCTGGGAGGCACAACATATGGACAAGATCGTGCCCTCGCTGCTCTACAATATGCAGGTGAGGTATCATTGAAATCGGTTTAGTGAATTTCATTCATAAGGGTATGTAAGTTTGCGTGAAAAACCTATTGTATTTTAACAATAACTAGCGACCCGCCCCGGCTTCGCACGGGTGCAATATGTATATACATACAAACCTTCCTTAAGAATCACTCTATCTATTAAAAAAAAACCGCATCAAAATCCGTTGCGTAGTTTTAAAGATCTAAGCATACATACGGACATACAGCGAAAGCGACTTTGTTTTATACTATGTATTGATAAGTTTGTAAAGTTACTAAGAAAACATAAAGGTTGAAGAAGTATAGTTATCCCTTGCCCTACTTTTTAAATAACCTGTGCCATCCAGACTGCAGAGAAATACGACACGGTGCTATGCATGGAAGGCGGCGCGGGAGAGGAACAACCGGCGCGGTTAGCCGAGGCGTGTCTCAGGGAACTCGTGGGGAGAGCGTCCTTCGGACATATACGCAGCGTACTGCGACCTGTGCTCACGTATGTACGCCTGGTACTTTTATCATCATGCATGTCCAAGAATTGTAATTTTTAAGGGATTACAGGGATTTACAAGTTAGCTCATAATGTTGAGTCTACTGTTGGTTTAGTGGCTGGACAACCGGCGGGCGCGCAACGTGTAGCGGGTTCGATTCCCGCATGGTGCAACTCTGTGTGATCCACAAATTGTTATTTCGGGTCTAAGTGTGATGTGTATGTAAACTTGTATATTTCTGAACGCACCGCGACACAGAAGGAAATCCTAGTGTGTCACTAAAAGAAAAGAATATGTAAGCAAAATTTGCAGGTTCTAAAATATAAAAAAATCAGTGTTTTTTTTAATTTTCATGACCTCCAACTTCTTGCTTTATTATTCATAGCAACTGTTCAATTAGTGCCAAAACCATGATGTCTAATGTGTGCCAAGAATATGAATATAAGACCAATTATTGGGGATCCACCATAATAAACGCAATGTGTTGCTTCTGTAACCAAACCAAACATTAAAAACTAAACTAAACCTTACACACAATAAAACATACAAAAAATACCTGTAACCAAAAGAAATGACATTTAAAGATTATTACTGGGCCTGTCGATTCCTGTATTATATTTATGTACTATTTATTATTAATTTGTCTATTTAAATATTTGTGACATAAACGTCCATTTGACATCTTTTATTTTACCGTCTACCGATAAAGAAACAATGGAGGTGATAGCTCCATCTATCATCCTTCTAAGTAAACTTCTACTTTACCGACAGAGACGTGTAGAAAATAAATAAAGAAACCTTATTTCTTTATATGAATATTGTTATATAATGGACATAAACCCTCAAATCTCTCCCGACACAAAAATCACACTGCAAAATCTCTCCGTTGCGTTAATAGAAAGATTAAGTAAGAAACTCACTAAGGGATTAGCTATTATATCGTACACATGTCAACCACAAGGTCGTCAGTAACACGATCCTCACAAAGAATATACTCTATAATCAATTACGTAGTATAATTTATTATACTTCGACGTTTGGCCCACAGTCACTTCGACCGACACGAGTTGTGGATACCGAACGACTTCGCAGTACACACCTTCAAGATCATCATGTTCTCTATACAGGTAATTAAAATAATAATTATAAACAATAGGAAAAGTAATCTAACAATATGAAAGTGTCATTTTTTATGAAATAACAGTGCGGTAGCATCAATTTTAATGAAATACAAGTCTGGTAGCATCAATTTTAATGAAATACAAGTGTGGTAGCATCAAATTTAATGAAATACCAGTCTGGTAGCAACAATTTTAATGAAATACAAGTCTGGTAGCATCATTTTTAATGAAATACTAGTCTGGTAGCATAAATTTTAATGAAATACAAGTGTGGTAGCATCATTTTTAATGAAATACAAGCCTGGTAGCATCATTTTTAATGAAATACAAGTCTGGTAGCATCATTTTTAATGAAATACAATTCTGGTAGCATCAATTGCAATGAAATACAAGTCTGGTAGCATCATTTTTAATGAAATACAAGTCTGGTAGCATCGTTTTTAATGAAATACAAGTCTGGTAGCATCAATTTTAATGAAATACCAGTCTGGTAGCATCAATTTTAATGAAATTCAAGTCTGGTAGCATCAAATTTAATGAAATACAATACAAATAATCACTCTGTCATTAATTGATTTTATGACCAACTTAGTTTGAGTATATTTCAAGCGAATATTTAAGAAATAAGTATGCTGTTTGACGCTAAAAAAACATGACGTCACAATACACAATCTCGCACATAATTCATAGTCCGTCGTGTCGTTTTTGACAGTTCCAAAAAAGTATTGCATTTGACTAGTTGGCAAGTCCCCATTTTACGTGACATGTGATCGTGTTGTGTTGTCCAGGCGCAGTACTCGTACAGCGTGGTGGAGGCACTGATGCAGCACCTGGACGCGGGCGGGAACAGGAGCGGGGACGCGCGGGACTACACGCGGGTCCGGGCCGCGCGGGCCGCCGTACTGTCCAACATTGTCGCCATCGCGGCCGCCGACAGCGTCGGTATGTACAGGACATATATTCCGCGCGGGCCGCCGTACTGTCCAACATTGTCGCCATCGCGGCCGCCGACAGCGTCGGTATATACAGGACATATAGGCCGGCTTTATGGGTATAAGCCGGTAAACGAGCAGACGAATCACCTGATGGTAAGCAATCGGCGTCGCCCATGGACCCGGAACACCTGGAACACCAGAGGCGTTACAAAGGCGTTACCGTTAAATACCCGCGCCGGACTGGAGAATTTAGCTAAAGACTATCTCAGTTCAAGTTGAATCGAATCTATCTACAAGGAAAATTACAAAAATGTCCATGCTTGGCAAACGAGTTTGAGATCTCAGCGTAAGGATTTATGACTTAAACTTCGTACCGCCTTAAATTTTTTATCTCACCTTTTAACTGCTTGAATGTACCGATACGAGACACATAGATTTTACATTAAATCTGCGTTTAGACACACGATGGGTTAAACCTTCCCTGGACTTTAAGAAACATTTCAAGGCCAAAATTACCTAACGAACGGAGACCAACGAACCGGAATTCATTTTTATTTATACATATAGTTGTGGCACTGATGCGAAATAGGTCATCAACTACAAATATTCAACACGTCATGTGATTTACATATATTTTACAATGCAGAAATAATTACTGAATCACTAATAATTATTAATTTGCTTACAAAATAAATTAATATTGTTACAGGACCATCAGTATTGGAGATCATCAACAATCTACTGACTAATTTGCGCGCTTCCGTCGCTAGAGATTCAGAAGTATGTAACACTATTATAAGTTGTATTCATCCATTCATTTCATACTACAGTGTAAAATGTTTGTTGAAGTTTATTACAATATATTCATTAAAGGAAAGAATTATCAATCAATATCTGCTTTGCGTTTCTGCTACCCTAGTACGTGCGCAAAATAATAATATCGCTTGCGTGTACTCTGTACATCTCATGATTAATTAATTCTGTACTGTATTTTGTCGTACAGAATTAATTGACTGCTACATTGGCCGAGTGGTCGCAAGTTTGACTACCGAGCAAGAGGTCGCGGGTTCGATTCCCGGGTCGGGCAAAATATTACTGTGTTTTTTTTCTTATAATACTGACTTCTAAATAAACCGCAAACTATTTGATGATTTATAGCAATCAATTGAAAATTAAAGAAAACCTATTTTCTTTACATGTATATTTTTTTAATTAACAGAAAGAAACCGACGAGAAGTTGTACCAAGAAGCTTTGATCAACGCTTTGGGAGAGTTCGCGGACCACTTACCCGACTTCCAGAAGATAGATATTATGATGTTCATCATCAACAAGGTACCCAGCAGTCAGCGCGCCAACAAGGGAACTAAAGCTGATGCCATGCTGCAGAGCATCTTGCTCAAGTCTTTACTCAAGGTAAAATCATAATTATAGTTCAAAACTTCGATACGGCTTATAATTATAAGTGTGAAAATAGTGATTGTGAGCCTCGGTCCTAGCTTGAAACTTGTCGTGTTAATTGACTGCCTCGTTGGCCGAGTAGTCGCAAGTGCGGCTACCGGGCAAGGGGTGTCGGGCGATTCCCGGGTCAGGCAAATTACTACCGGGTTTTTAAAAAAAATTGTCAGTAGTAGCACGAAGTCAGGAATTGTGTTCGGTATATAGCAATAGACTCACCCCCTATTACATGGGACTTATAACATAAATAGTGAAAAGTGGATATCCTCTGCCTGCCCCTCTGGGGATAAACGGCGTGATGTTATAGTTGGCAAAATATGACATATTTAATATGTCATGTAATCTACAGGTGGGTACGACATACCGTACAGTGGAGCTGAGCAAGGCATTCCCGGCCGCATTCTTAGAGGCATTGCTCCGACTGGGCGGCGGCGCCGGGCCCCGCGCCAGGACCACGCTGCAACGTATACTGCATACTTTGTTGGACAGAAGGGATAACGCACCACGACTCGCTTCACCTACGTAAGTACGATAACACATACTATTATGTGAAGAACATTGCTAATGAAAATAAATTTGTACCTCTAAAGTAGATGATGTTAACTTTTTTTGATGACTATCTGATAGATTAATTGAACTGGACACTTGAATTCGACGGCATATGTTATTGATTTCGCGACCTCTCGCGTCCGGACCTAGTGCAGGCCATGATGCGGAGCGAGGGGGACTGGGATGCCGTCTCCTCATTTTACAAAGCAGTCATGCTAGCTAAGGAGGAGGCGGGACGCGTGAGGCAGCGAAGCGCTGCCTCCTCGCAACCCAGCCATCGCGAAGGACACACCGGGCGTCGGGGATCGCGGGACGATCTCCGGCCACCGTAAGCGCGGGCCTGCGGACGGCGAGCATGGGTGGCTCCCCGTCCGACCAGAAACAGACCCGAGCGTACGGCGCGTCGCGTTCCGCGCGCGCCTCAAAGAGCCATCAGACCACCACAGATGGGGCCCAATAGGGCCGATGTCGATACGGAGCCGCGAAGAACTTAAGGCTTACCGGGACTCCGGCTCGAAGTGTTGGAGTAGGAACGGGGTGGTTTTTAGTCAGTAAGAGTCTGACATTCCCTCCCTCTTCTCCCAGGCGGGAACAGTCATTCGATGATTTTATCTCACCAAAAAAAAGTCAATTGTATTAAATAGTTACTATAAAATATTTTATGTTTGTCTGCAGTGTGGAGGTATGCGAACTAGGCCTGATAATAGAGAAGTGTTCCCGACAGGATCTCATCTTCTTTAGCAAGCATGGGTATGCGCTATTCAGCTCGCTCTATGAAGGTAAGCATCATACATAATTATATGGAGACTATATTAAATTATCAGTTTTTTATTAATTTTATTACTCAGTAGTAGTTTGGAGTCTGGAAATGTGCCCGGTATATGGCAATAGGCTCACCCCCTATTACATGGGACTCATAACATAAATAGTGAAAAGTAGGTGTTTCATTGTACTACAATCGCATAATGTGCACCTCTACCTACGCTTTCGGGGATAAAAGGCGTGATGTTATGTTATATTATGCATAAGTGTCTCACGAAAGTCCCTAAAATAATTATTTCTTAAAAAATTGCGGGAAAAATACTAAAATGAAGTTGGGCATAAAAGCAATTAATGAAAGTGTGAATATTTTTTAATATATTATTGTATTGAACAGTCGAAATAATTTATTTTTGATTAAGGAAAGTACCCAATTCATATCATCGCTGTTTACACAACCAGGACTACAGTTAACCAACAGCAACTTTATAAGTAAATCGTTATAAATCCAATATTTCACCTCGTTTTATCCCCAGGTCTGCAACTAGAATCGAATACGATGGAGAACGTGGAAGCGATCTACACCACACTAGCGCTCATTTGCATCGAGCTAGCTTCTGAGGAGACAGTCTGCGATATCATGCAACTTATATTGGCGTGAGTATCTACTATGTTTTCTCTTAATCTTTGTTATTCTACTTATTGTAACAAATTAACGTCTTAGAGTTTTTAGTCAGTAAGAGTCTGACACTCCCTCCCCCCTCACCCAGGTGGGGGAAGAAATTCGATGATTTTACTCCCTTAAAAAAGAGTTCGTTGTGGGCTTTGTAGAAAACTGAAATGGGGCCTATCGTATTGTTACTCCCATGATATGTGTGAACCTGTCATTATTCTTCGTCCAATAGGGAATTAGGTAGTATCACAACATTAGACATTCAATATTTGACATCTGCCGTTAAGTAAAAAAACGTTTCTTCTTGTGTTCTTTAACCCGTTAATTGTCACTAGTAACCGAAGACCTAGGTTAGCGGAGGATTTGCCTACAATAGTTTTCTGTCGGCAGTCATACATACATGTATACATATATAACACACGTCTGTCTCCCATGGGCGTAGGGAAGACTTTTTTTTTTAAGGGGGGAAAATCATCGAATGACTGCTCCCGCCTGGGTGAGGCGGGAGGGAGTGTCAGACTCTTACTGACTAAAAACCACCCCGTTCCTTCTCCTGCACGTCGAGCCGGAGCCCCGGTAACCCGCTAGGTTCTCCGCGACAGCGTAGGGAAGACTAGGGAATGCCAATTACTACGATTCCTACATACCTCTTTTGCTTCATCAACAGTCATCAATCTTTTCATGCATGCTCATCGGTTAAGAGTACTTTTTTACGGTCAAAGGTTTAAATGTTTTAAAATTGTAATATATTTTGTTTGCAGTATTCAACAATCGAGTCTGTCGAACCCGGTACTGTCAGTGGCCCAGCAATGTCAACTGCAAGCAATCAGTATCTCCCTGGCAGCACTACTGCCGCATGTGATGATGCTCACTCGTCTTACTGACTATATCAACAAGGTAACTGGATCATCATCACCATTATGTCAAGAATAAGACGTCTACTACTAAACTGACAAATAGGGTAGTTTCCTAAATTTTATTTTAATGTCCGTCTGGTACATTAATTTAAAACTTTAGACACGTATTTTTTCTTTTCTCACAAAATTAAATACTTTCGACGATATATTAATTTGAAATATCGTGTGACGTCACAGCGTGTCACATTTTGTAGCACGTTATGACGTAACAACCTCCCACTCTTAAACTTAGCGCCATTTTATCTAAGTAATGCAACTTAATATGAGAAAATAAAAAATACTATTATTTTTTCATTATCTAATTGACGGACTAATTAGATTTTTAATTTTTATACCCTGGAAACTACCCAATATTAAGATACTGTTTAATATGATGGGCCGGACGTCCACTCCACTCTCCACTATCTCGCCTGGTGGTAAGCGATAATGTAGCCTACGATAAAGCACGCATGCCTATAAGCAATCCTATTCACTCGGGCCTTGAAAACACCCCGGTTATATATACCCTTTAGGAAACACAGACTCTGGCAAAAGTTTCCTCTTCGTGGGAGTGAGTGAGACATCCACCATGAAGCAGTGGCACACGGCGCAGTAAATTAATTATAAGACTTCATTCACATTAACTATTCGAAGACACTCGACTAATTTGAAGTAATTATGAGCCTCGATAGTGACTTGAAACAGATCGAGCACTCTCGAAGAGTTTATATTTGTACGCCGTTTACTCTAATTAAGCATATCTTTCATAAATACTTACAAATTAAAAAAAAAATACTACGAAATATATTTTTTAATTATTATTATTTGTAGATAATTGCGGCCCGACGCGAAGATGCTCGACATCTATTGCCTCCACTGCAGGAAGACTATGACGACTTACCTCCTGCCAAGATGCCTAACAAGCTGCCTTACCTTATGATGGATCAGGTAACAAGTTAATAACACTCTAAATTAATGAACTTCTGAATAAAACGTGTGACAGTCCCCTACTAGACTATGGGGCCCCTCTACATAATAGCATAAGATGGTTTATCAATGCCTCTGTTCTAAGCGTAGCATGTTAGGAAATTGAAGCTCCTGGTTAAAGTTCGCAATTTAAAAAGATTTGAGATTATTAGAGAGAGAGAGCGCTATTGTCGATTTAACTCAAAAAATCTGATTTTAAAGTTACAAGGGCGTTATCGACCTTTTGGGGATTATTTTTTAAAACGCCCCACATTGTCTCCTTTATGTCCAGGATTGTCTCCTGTGTCGTGAGTGCGTTTACAAACATACAAGTTCACATACACATGCCACCCAGACCTGAAACAACAATTTGTGGATCACACAAAGTGTTGTTCCGTGCGGGAATCGAACCTGCCACACGTTGCACGGCAGCCGGTTGCCCAGCCACAGCACCAATCATAATTTTAAGATTGTTGCGGATTCAGGAATTGGGGAAATTGGAGAAAAGGGAGGAAAGGGGTAATTGGGCTTCCAGTAACCTCACTCACACGATGAAATACAACACAAGCGTTGCTTCACGTTTTTATTCTGCTCGGCCGTGGTATCACTCCGGTCGTGCCGGCCCACTCGTGCCGAAGCATCGCTTTCCCATACTTATACTTTTTTTATCATTTCTACAGGAATCTCATATATTTGGTACAATTACAGATGGCACTATGCGACCTGCTGAAGGCCCACGGAGTGGACGCGACGCGCCTGTCTTCTTCATCGCCGTACACCGCCGGGAACATAGCCCTGCCACATCGACACAGCTGGGTCGAGGCCGGTATGTACTGCCTTACATTCATGTTACCCTAGTACTCTGTCAGGCTCCGACTCGACGTGCAGGAGAAGGAACGGGGTGGTTTTTAGTCAGTAAGAGTCTGACACTCCCTCCCGCCTCACCCAGGCGGGGGCAGTCATTCGATGATTTTCTCCCCTTAAAAAGAGTTAAAGTACTCTGCCAGAATTTTTTTATTGCTTTTGTCAAATATTTAAAACAAATATATTTAATAATTTGAACCTGCTCGCGTATAACGTATAATGTCATAAACTTTAGTCGAAAAGGGCAATTCAGTATGTTAAGTTTGTTTAATACATTTTTTTATTTTTAGACGTCAAATTGATTTTGTATGTTTTGTTGAAGTAAATGTAATATTAAAATTTTAAGTGCTATGCAACCACGAAAATATAACTTGGGAACCTAAAATTTCGAAATGGTTTTCGAATTGCCATAGTTTGAGTTTTACTTTAAATACCGAATTAATGTACGAGATTGAATATTTACATTTGATGAATCACAATCATGTCATGGTGTGAAAATGTAAAATAGTGTACGATTTACACATTATATTTGTTTTTTTTTATGATCCCCTACTATTTATTTCAGGCGCAGCTCAAGGTCGCGATAGTCTCGCAGAGATCACAGCGCCTGGCACTGAACTGGACAGTGCCAACAGCTCGCCCGGAGTACAACGGGTGAGTACCTACTGTAGCATCTTTTTGTTTATGCTAACCTGGTACTTCAAATGCATTTACTAAGGATACGTGTCATTTTTCTGTAGTCCAAATATATAACAATAAAATTAAAATTAATTGTAGGAAATTATGTACAGTTAGAGAAATATTATTTGTGATGAACGAACTACCACTATACCCAAAGTATTTCACTGACGATAAAGAATAAACGGTAATTACTTGTTTATAAAAACAGCGTTCCTTACGAAACTCCTATACTAACCCTCTCCATAATATGCAATCCTGGTACCCAATTCCTCGTCAATTTCTCTTCGCAGAAAGTCAAATATGCTTTTAGGGGTAATTGAGTATAAAAGCAGGTTATGGGAAAACTTACATAACATAGCATCGCGTCTTTTATCCCCAAAGGGGTAGGCAGAGGTGCACACAGAATAAACCAGAATAAACACAGAAAAAACTTACCTTTTCCCAATATAAAGTAATATTAGAAATGGTGATCCTCATCTCGTCTTCAGCTAACTCAGTACGACGACCTGGACGAGGAGTTCAGAATGTTCATTGAGAAGTACAACCACAATTATCGACCTGTCATGCAGAACTTCGGATGTTACGTAATAACCACTTATATACATAATAATATCTATATGTATTGTTATAAATACAGTGTAATAATGTAGTTTTCCCGTTTAAATTGTTTTTTTTTTACAAAATAAATGTACATAATTGGATACTTTCTTTAATCAAAAATAAATTCTTTTAACTACTCAATACAATAAAATATTAAAAAATAATTACACTTTCATTCATTGATTTTATGACCAAGTTACTTTTAGTATATTTCCAGCATGTTTTTTAAGAAATAAGTATGTTGTTTGACGCTAAAAAACATGGCGTCACAATACACAATCTCGTACAAAATTCATAGAAAAAAAGTCTTGAATTTGACTAGTTGGCAAGTACACAATTATGTATAAATAGCGTAATATTATTATGGGGCTGAATCGATCCCTTTGCCTCCATTTTTAACACATTCAGCGGTTTCTTCTATGTCAAGAGGTTCCACTTTGCCTCTCAATTCTGTGAGATTACAAATCAGGGCTCAAAATGAGTGTTATTGCGTTATTAGTGAGCGAACGTCACACATCCTCCCAAAACCGCTGCAACTCCTGTAAGCCAGGATCTACAGTAGATACAACCATGAAAACACCAGAACACTGAAGAAAAACGATAATTTTCAAAACGTCACTATACAAGAAGTATTTTATAGTAATAAATTCTCCTTCCACCTTACTGACCTTCCTTCTTTCCTTTATCTCCTTCCCTCTACAGCGCACTGACAATGATTTCTGGCACTGGGGCCACCAAGAGTCGCATAGCAATGAGCGATACTCGCGACGTGATAGGAAACCTAAACCGCCGGTAAAATCGCATTACAGATTTTTAGACAAGTATTAATTAATATAGACAAATCAGTAATGCAACAGTATCGATATTAAATAAAAATCGAGGGTTACTCACTTGAAAATACTGAAAAAAGCTCTACTAGTTTCGAAAATCAGAGTTCCTCATGAACAGCGTAGGCGGTCGCGGCGATGTCGTACTGCCTACTGACATACTGAAGCTAGCTTTTCTCAGTATATTCACGTGAGTAACCTGCGATTTTTAGTTAATTTAGCATGTCTCACGATAGTTATCATAAAAACAGTATCAATATTGATACAGATGTTGTTATTAGGTTGTATTTAAAGTTATAATGGTGAGCTATATAAGTATTTTAATGGTAGATTCAAAATGCATTTTTAATATCAAGTAGGTATTACTATAATGATTAGTAACGATATAATATGTTACTTTGTAATAGATTGTTCTACGTATAATTGCTCAAGTGTTGGAGGTATCCCATGGGAGGCGCCGATAACTGACTATCATGTCTATCCAATGCAGATGGAGTCTCTAAAGGTTGCTTCCAACCGGCTTATCTAGAAGTCATTGGAGAATGCCATATTCAGCAGTGGACGTCCTATGGCTGATATAATGACCGAGTGGTCGCAAGTGTGACTGCCGAACAAGGGGTCGCAGGTTCGATTCCCGAGTCGGGCAAAGTATTACTAGGTTTTTAAAAATCTCACAACAGTAGCACTGTTGGGAGCAGCAGGAGTCTGGCATTGTGCCCGGTATATGGCAATAGGCATGAGCCTATAGGGGATAACCCCTTTTTATGTTTTTTTATATATAGGGGATAACCCGTAGTACATGAGTCTCATAACATAAATAGTGAAAAGTGGGCGTAACATTGTACAGTGGCATTAAGTGCCACAATTTGCACCTTTGCTGACCTTAGCTAGGATAAAAGGCGTGATTATTGACAAAGAAAACGTTGTAAATAAAAATGGTACGTCCCCAGGCCGCCGGCGTGTCGTCGTGCGTGAGCCTGGAGGCGCTGCGCCGCGCGGCGGGCGGGCCCTCCGCCGCCGAGCGACGCGACGCCGAGCGACGCCGCGCCACGCTCAACAACGCCTTCCGCACCGCGCCCTTCGACCAACTACTGCATATTACACAGCCTAAGGTAACACTAACTGTATTCTGTTTTTAAACGGTTTTATTAAACTTAACCTGGGTCAAATTTAGTATTTGGGTACTTTCCTTAATCAATACATAGTATAAAACAAAGTCGCTTTCGCTGTATGTCCGTATGTATGCGTAGATCTTTAAAACTACGCAACGGATTTTGATGCGGTTTTTTTTAATAGATAGAGTGATTCTTAAGGAAGGTTTGTATGTATAATACATGCATATTGCACCCGTGCGAAGCCGGGGCGGGTCGCTAGTCAAGAATAAATTATTTCGACTGTTCAATACAATAATATATTAAAAAAATATCACACTTTCATTAATTGATTTTATGACCAACTTAATTTTAGTATTTTTGCAGCAAATACTTGAGAAATAAGTATGCTGTTTGACGCTAAAAGATATGACATCACAATACACAATCTCTCATAGAAAACTGTCGTTTTTGACAGTTCGAAAATAGTACTGAATATGTCTAGTTGGCTAGTACCCAATTGTTTCACCTCCTTCCTAAACATAGATTGATCTGTCGCGGAGAACCTAACGGGTAACCGGGGCTCCGGCTCGACGTGCAGGAGAAAGAACGGGGTGGTTTTAGTCAGTAAGAGTCTGACACTCCCTCCCGCCTCACTCAGACGGGAGCAGTCATTCGATGATTTTCCACCCTTAAAAACGAAACACAAATTGATCTGATTTTTGGTACACACTCTTATTCTCGATGACAATATATATTAAAACAGTTTAAATAACCGGGGACTGTTCTCTGCATTTTCATAGTACATACAGGGATAGTCGCCGATTTGTGTGTCCATTACATCACTACATAGTATAAAACAAAGTCGCTTTCTCTGTCCCTATGTCCGTTTGTATGCTTAAATCTTTGAAACTACGCAACGGATTTTGATGCGGTTTTTTTAATAGGTAGAGTGATTCAAGAGGAAGGTTTATATGTATAATATATGCATATTGCACCCGTGGGAAGCCGTGGCGGGTCGCTAGTTTAGATTAAAGTTGTCTAAAAGGGCCTCTGCGCAGTTGGCTTCGGCTCCTCGTACGCCTCTCAAATGACTGGGACCCTGTGGTCCCGTAAATGGTAAAGACAAGAAATAATAAGAATCCTTGTAATTATTTTCTTTTTTTATAATTTGCTGGGCCGACATTGGACCACTGTCTCGCCAGAGGCCTTAGTTGACGTTTGTTTTATGTTTAAAGTATTCGGAACGAGTACGTGTTCGGCACTCTGATTGGCCGGCGCCAATAAACCAACCAATCAGAGCGCCGAACGCGTACTAAGGCCTCTGGTGGTAAGCGATGATGCCGCCTGCGATAGAGCACGTCGTCCCATAAGCAACCTATTCACTCGGGCCTTGGACTCTTATTCTAAGCAAACTACATTTAAGTTTCACATAAAAATAGGACTGTATAGCTTACGTAGCTTGATACACAGAATCACCCTTGCTAACTTTGTGTCTTATAGTACGAGATCAAGGACAAATTGGAGGAGATCTTCAACTCCATAAGTGAGGAGCCGCTCCTCCCCGGCTCGGGCGCGTGTTCCCCCGCAGCACACAAGTCCTACACCAGCGCAGTGCCGCCGTACACCAAGTACTTCCCGGAACTGTTCCTCTACTGAGCTTATAATGGTATGTATAGACTAATATAATATATTGTAAAAATATTAATTTTAGAAGTATTAATAAATTTCAGCCATTAGAAAGGTTATTTTTCAAATATAAAAAAAATTCGTATAAATATTCTAAATTCTTCTCTCCACTCACTCCATTATAATACTAATTTTCGATGTTTAGAGACTACTTTTGTATGAACGAATTTGGTAAATATTTTTATTAATATTCTCACTTTTAAATGCATTAGTCAATTATTTATATTGATAGTAATTTATTTCAAATCAATCTTACTCGTGTAACTTCAACTCGGTTACTTGAAGAGTTTCGAGTCACAACAGGGGCCTATAATAACGATCAACATGCCGTGGAGCCAACTATTATAAACTCCTGTGGAGATTAAAATGATAATATTCGGAGAACTTTGACTGCACGGTTGGCGCGGTGGCTGGGCAACGGGCTGTCGCGCAACGTGTCGCGGGTTCGATTCCCGCACGGAACAACTCTTTGTGTGATCCACAGATTGTTCCAGGTCTGGGTGTCATGTGTATGTGAACTTGTATGTTTGTAAACGTACCCACGACACTGGAGAAAATCCAAGTGTCACACTAGGATTTCCCCACACAACATTTTTTTAAATGAAGAAAGAAATGAAAAAGGAGATCACTTTAATTAGAATAATGTTGTTTATTTTTATTTCCAGTTCAAATTCAAAACGGTGGAGGAATGTCAATCTTCAGTAGTGGCCTGTAGGTGTTAGTTTCGCTCGACGTAGTGTAAGGTATACGGTATCGACTCGCAGATGACATCGTTCATGTGACTACTTAACCCAAGACTGCCTGAATAATATTACTTTTGGCCTAAAATACTAATAGGGCAGATGACAAATTTTTATTTTAATCTCCGTCTTTTAGATTATTTAAAAACGTTAGACACGTATTATTTATTTTCTTACGGAAACGAATAGTTTCGAAGATATATTGATTTGAAATATCGCATGACGTCACTTTTGAGTACGATTTATACTCTAAAATGACATAGCTACCACTCATAAACTTTGATTCGTTTTATCTATGTATTGTTTTCTTTTACGACAAAATAAAAAAATACGTGTCTAATATTTTTTCATTACCTAACTGACGGACTAATTAGATTTTTAATTTTCATACTCTGTCATCATCCCTATATTTATCCTGGCAGATAATATGACAAGGTTTTGTCGTCGTTGGGGTAAGTTCGTGCATTGCGTATTTTCTCCTTATTATAATGCTATTATCAACAGCCTATAAGCACCTACTGCGAACCAAAGGCCTCTTCTCACATGGAGAAGGTTTGAGCATCAATCACCATGCTTGCTCAAATCTTTATTATACTATTGGCATTATTTTGTTTTGATTGGGTCTACTTGAAAAATGTAACGTTAGAATAAGAGAAAATACACAAATTACAATCCCCCTCCCCCCTATTCGTAATCCCCGAATCCCCAAAAGACCAACAACGCACTTGTACTTCATCTAGTGTTGCGAGTGTCCGGAGACGGCGCTGATTGCTTACCATCAAGTGATCCGTCATCTCGTTTGGTGAACTACACCTACTCATGACAAAATCTTGGCAAGTTACGTGCCCGGTATAATACTAACGTCATATAAACCATGTCTTTGCGAAGTATCGAGTTTTTGACATAATATTGTAATTGAATTATTCGACTTAATAATCTGACTGCGGCTCCAACTTTGATGATAATAATAATTAATTAATAATGTATAACGACTTAAATACATTCCTGTTGCTTTTACTCACAACGTAATATTGTTATAGGAGAATCTCTTATTACTATTATTATATAGGGATTTTGTTATTAATTGTGACGTACACAAAAACTAATTTAAATGTTTTACGTAAACTTTCGAGGATGCTCGACAACTTTCAAGCGACAACGGGACTCATAGTAATGAGCAATGTACGCTTCGATTTAACGTTTAACTTTGATTTTCCTTGTCTATTTGAATTTCTAGAACATTAAGAAAAAATTAACAAATATGTTCAATATATCTGAAAAAGATAAATCGATTTTTACCTTTTATGTCCTGAAAAATACGTAAACGTTAACGTCTTGACTGCCGCTATATGAAACGACAGAAATAATATTTTGTCTCGCTTAAATTCCAACAAGAATGACTTAAAGGTCACAATTAATACCAAGACTTCACAACTATTTGATATATTTAGTAGATGGCTAAGGTGCGGTGTGGTTTGGTGAAGCAATATTCAGTTGTTTATGTTGCCCTGGTAGGGACCAACTATCTGGCAAGTGGATATCTATCAGTTAGACTTATCTAATACTGATTTAAATAGAGGTCTTTTTTACGTATGAAACTGCTGTATTTCACGGAGTTATTGTCAAGTTAAAAGTGAATTTTTTGAATAAGATGTTATAAGTGACGGGTTCAAATGTAATGAAAACAGAATTCTAATAATTGAATGAATGATTTAAAGAAATAATTGAACAATATCCTACCTACAGTCGGGTAAAATAGGTGTAAATGATTTTGAAAACACTTTGCAATGAGTGTTTCTCCAACTGTCTGATTTGGAAGTCATTGAGCGAGACCTACGTTCAAAATACTTCTCAAAGCCGATATTATGATGCCGATGATGAGTTTTTAGCGAGAAAGAATAATTGAGAACTAAGTTGGCTGTCTTAAAGTACCGAGTGAACAGGTTGCTCATAGGTAGGCGTGCTCCATGCTCCATCATCGGCTACATCATCGCTTAACACGAGGCGAGATGCTGGTCAAACGTCGACCTATCAAGTATAAAGATAAAAATCACTTTTGCCAGAGGCCTAGCCCACGTTCCCCTTGGATAAAATGTAGCCTATGTGTTATTTATAGGTCTCCGGGTCGAAGTGCAGCAGTAAGAACGGGGTGGTTTAAAGTCAGTAAGAGTCTGACATTCCCTCCCGCCTCGCCTAGGCGCGAGAAGTCATACGATGATTTCCACCCTTACAAAAAAAGGCCATAATACACCCCTGTTCCAAATGTCATCTCGATCCCTTCATGAAGGAGTAACAAACATACAGACTTTTGTATTTATAATATTAAGTACTAGCTTTTACCCGCGGCTTCGCTCGCGTGAAAAAAAGGATAAAAAGTAGCCTATGTGACATATACACACAGCGCCATCTATACCAATACTTTTGTTTTCCCTCGGAAATATCATTTTTTTCCGGGATAAAAAGTACCCTATTATTTAATCTGGACTTTTAACTTTACGTCTGCAAAATATCAAAGCAATCGGTTTAGTAGTTACGGCGTAAAAGCGAAACAAACAAACAAACTCACTTTCCGATTTATAATATTAGTAAGGGTGATGGCTGAATGGCAGTTTCATAAGTAAATATCGACCTCTAAAATTAATATCGAGGTTATTGAGAGAGATGTAATATAATTATTTAGAGCATGTAGAAACATATATAGGCTAGTACAAATGTATGATTTCAGTCGGTGAAAATATTGTAAAAGCAGTGAAAAGTTATTTCAATTGTCTTGATGAATATCTAGGTTGCCTCATACGAAAATATGATACCAATATTCATTCTTATTTACTTTACAATATTATATTGTAGTTAAGTGATCATATTCAATGAAAATTATTACAAATTAACAAAAAATCGCGGGTTATTCAAGTGAATATACTGAGAAAAGCTACTAGTTTCGAGCCACAGAGGGGTTCTTCCTTATGAGCAGCGTGCGCGGTCGCGGCGATATATATACGCGATACACACGCGATTCTTAGTTAATTTAGTATGTCTCACGATAGTTATTATAAAAAAGTTTCAGTTTGAGATCCAGTAATTCTGTTCATTTTAAATTCTTAATTTAGTTAAAACTTATGCCTACGCGTCCAAAGTCTGCTTCCACCAACCCCTCCTAAATTTTAAGGAATCCCCTAAACGATATTTAATGTGATTAAGTGATACCTAACAGTACAAGTAAGGGGTTAATTTACTTGCTACATCACACTAAGTAACCTTTAGTTAGGAGATGGTTGATAAAATCAATTCTGTTTTATTATAACAAGATGTCTATTATGAATTGTTATGTATATATAATGGACATTATTCATATAATTATATCAGTATCCCAATGTTTTGTATTATGATTGTATTATTTACTAAGTGCTTGATATTCTTATAAATAATTATTAATTAATAATATATTGTGATTAATTTATTATATGTTATTGTGAATGTGTTTTATACCCACGTTTTATGCAATATCTTATTAGAATATTGTATAAAAAAACTTATACATTTGTTAGAATTTGAATCTATGTTTTACTAGGATACCATAAGCATACGACTAGGTCGCGCAACCAAGAAAATGTGTTCGTGGTATCTCACCAGAGGGCCTAATATAATTTCGATCTAAACGTTACCACAATCATGTTTAAATACCACTCAATTTTAAAATTTGTTCGTTCTGTGATTGCGAATTCTTTGTAAAATGACATAGATGGAACGATATTTAAGTACAACTCAAACTTGAGTAGCCTTTCAGTATTTGGGCGTCAGTCCTTGGCATTGACCTATTCCAATTAACCAACCAATGACAAGGGTAAACGCGGTTAAATGGTTAAATGTAACAAAGTTCCTGCCTCGTTGGCCGAGTGGTCACAAGCGCAACTGCCGTCAAGGGGTCTCGAGTTCGATTCCCGGGTCGAGCAAAGTATTACTGGGTTTAAAAAAAACTCAGAAGTAGCACGGAGTCTGGAAATGTGCCCGGTATATGGCAATAGTTTCACCCCCTATTACATGGGAATCATGACATAAATAGTGAAAAGTGGGTATTACATTGTACAGTGGCATTAAGTGCCGTATTGTGCACCTCTGCCTACCCCTTCGGGGATAAAAGGCGCGATATTATGTGTAACAAAGTTCCAAACGGCAACAAAATCAAACCTAATATTTGTTCTAGTGTCTCTTTGGATACTATGGTGGCGCGACCAATCGTACAACCGCGGTGTCTTAGTGAAATAGGGCCCTTACATATGCCAATGTTGTACCTTATCCATGTAGAAAGGATTTATTACGAGTAACACTGCCTTTAACAATGTATTTATTGCTTTTTATGTCCATTTAAATATTTACTTTAAGTACCTTTATGTTATAACATGTAATGATTTGCTCATGTAAAGCAATAGTTGATAGAACTTCTTCATCTTCTTGTCTAGTTTCTACTAGACAGCAACTTACTTCCAATATTTTATATACCTGATACTGACACTAAAATTTCAAGGAGATAGGGTCTGTACAGGCGAGGGACTTTTGGTCCAACTGTCTTGACTTAACTGCATCACTGAGTACTCTCACACATATTGTATAGAGCTATACCTCAATACAATATTCTAGCTACTCACCCATTTTCCCGACTCTGCTCGACTACTATTGATCTTAGAGTTATGTTTTAAAGAAAGAAAGGAAGAAAGAAACAAACAAACATTTATTCGACAAATAGGCACACAAATACATACTATATACAAATAAATAACATAAAAATACAGATATTTATACAAAAATTATAAAATAAAAAAGGGTAAAGATAAGAACAAAACAATAAGAAATAATAACAAAACATGAACAATGCAACAAAAACAGATATTAAATATTTAAAAAAAGAATACAACGTTTAAATAATATCAATGTGCCCATGCGAAAAGGGCCTCCACCTCAGCATATAGTTGAGCGTACATGCTCAACGCTGATTTTCAGGTGGCACCCTGAAAAGCATTTAGCCTTCCTTGATATATTTTCCAAATATAACTGATAGTTCTGAAGAAGCGCGTTCTAACGAACAAACAACTCTTCAGCTTTATATAATAATATAAGATGTAAAATTATATATCTAGTATCGAAAAGTATCGAAAGGATCATTTATTAAACCTAGCTATTAAACCGTACTTTCTCTCCGAATCTGGTTCGAATTCTAAATTATTTTTCAAAAACGTAACGAATTTTGATGCGGTTTTTTTTAATATATAGAGTGATTCTTAAGGAAGATTTATATGTATAATAAATGCATATTGCACCCGTGCGAAGTCGGGGCGGGTCGCTAATAGTTTATAAAAGATCTATTTTTCAAAAAAGTACTCTGTGGTGCAGTTGAATCAAGTTCGCAGCGGCTCTTTTTTCACAATCCCTGAACTGATTTTTGTCCTCTGCGACTGAAATCCCTCGTCTCAGCTCCTTAGGAATGCAATGACCCTTCAAGTTGATATTATTTGTTCTATATTTTAGTAAAATTTTGATAAAAACATGAATATTGCGTCTGGTGAAGGTACGTGGTGTACGGCAGGTGAAAGGAAATGTTGTATAATATAATCGTTGCATCGTTCTATGTACTTAATGTTATTTACTAAATGTATTCATTCGGTCAGTACTCGGTTGTGTACGAAATATATGTGGTTCCAATTATATTTGTGTGTTTTATTTTTATTGGAGGATGTTCCTATTAGTTTCTAGTTATATCCAGTACCAGTGTTCCTCCTGTGTGTGTCCTTGCCTGTTTTCTCCAACCATTCTCAAACTTTAAAGAACCCTTACGCTAAGATAGGCGACACTTAACGACATTTTGATTCTCACCAACCTATATGTGACAGAACAAATGGTTAGTTTAGTTACTCATCACGCTAAGTAACTCTTAGTTAAGAGATGGTTAAGGATGGTTGGTAAAAATGGCTATAACAAGGATGGTGAACAATTAACACGTGCCATTGATGGCACAGAACACAAAATTTTGGGCACATACAACAGTGATAACAAAACAACAACGCATTTGTGGTGTCTCTAGCATTGCAAGATGGTTTTCCGAAATTCCCGATTTTCGAAACTTATCATCAATTTTTTTATTAGATAGCTGTTTTAATTTTTTCAATTGGCAGAATTGTTACCTTGTGTTAATTCTTGTAAATTGGTGTAAAATCACACTGCAGGTAACATCTTACCATCAGGCCAACTGTTAACTTTGTTGCTACTGATTATGGGTAAAAAGATAAAAATTAGTTGATGGCACAGCTAAGACCTCAATACACATTTCTTCCAAATTAATTGGCATGAGAAAATCAAAATAATTTATTTCAATTACACAAGGAAGGCACTTTTGAACGTCAAAACAAAATATTGAAATATTAAAATAATGTCAGTCGGTCAGTCCTCTAGTGGAGCTATTTGCTCGTTCCGTGTAGATTCTTATGGAGAAGAACGAGCAAGGAACTCCATAGGTTACTCTTTTTCAATCAATTTCTCAATACAATGTTTTTGGTTAGGTACATTATTTTGTTAGTTCAATTAAAATCAATGGGTAAAGTTTCGCCATCCCTAGGCTGTAGGGTACTGAATGCCAAGCGTAGAATGTGGATATCATGGTACTATTTTAAGTAGAAGGCTAGAAGGCCACACATTCCAGCAGATAAAAAAATAAAACACCGACAATATTTAAACAACAGTTTATATTTTAAAATAACGTTTATCTATCTACATTACATTTCAGTTAATTTACCCTATCTACTTTGGACGAGTTATTGAGGTCGGTACAGATCAGATACTGGTGACAATCCTTGTCTTATTATTAGGTACATTTTTGAAACTAGGTAATGTCTACGTCGATACAACCAAAATTACAATGTTTTGAATAATGAAGGGTCTAAGCTAACGCCCATATTGAACGGCTACTCAGTTTTAAGTCGCGCTTAATAGGGGTAGATGACTAATTTTTAGATTATTTAAGCCTTAGACTGCCCGCTGCCGGCAGAAAACTGTTGAAGGTAAATCCTCCGCTAACGTAGATCACCGGTGACCTACGCGGCGATTAACATGTTAAAAACATTAGACACGTATTTTTTA